AAAAACGCTAAAAATTCCAAGTTGGATGTTTAACTGCTCCAGCTCATCATAGGCGCGTAGTTGGAACAAATTGTCATAGAGATCAAAAGTCTAAAATCCCCGGTTTTACAATATTACAAAATTAAATCTTATCATTAATTATTTAATTCAAACTCTATTCCTTTTAATATTTATTAATGAACTCAAATTAAAGTCTTTTAACTCAACACTATCTATAAAAAAAAACGGTATTATTCTTGCCAAGAATCTAATATTTATTAATGAAATCAAATTAAATCTTTTAACTAAACACTGAATGAAAATGTTCCTATTCCTACAAGCTAATTCGGTTTTTAAAATGAAATACGGTCTCAATATAAAACGTAAAAAGCGGAACAAGGTTTTTTACCTAACGGATTTGTAAATACAAGAAAGAAAAAATTATCGGCGGAGAATTGATTTGTGATGCGGCTTATTAGTCTCAACTGGTGGCAATCAAATATTACATCGAACTCATAATTTTAATAGCATCTCGGGTCTCGTTCAACTACGGATTCCCTTTCCCCATCAAAAACCCCACCTACGCTCAGACCCACCGCGCAGCGATATCTCGATCGGCGTTCGCGCATCGGTAGATTAGCAGTTCAATCGCGTTTAATATTTATTAAAAATGAAAAATTGAAAATAAACTGAGGAAAAATTGACTTCATTACAAAAGTTAGGAGATTTTTTCGTGATTAGTTTTTGGATCGATTTCTGTCAGGAGAGCAGAATTGTTTTATTTTATATAGCTATAGTTTTGTAGATTTCGTGGTATTATGTTTATTTTTTCGTAAATTGGTACATGATTGGTAGTTAAAGGATTATTTGCGGAACCCACTCGGAATGATCATGTTAAAGCTGTTATGAGAGACAACGTGGCTAGTTTCAAGGTTGTTGTTAATAAGTAGGTAAAAATGCGCTCATGAGAATTTATAATTGTTCTTTTATAATATATTGTGGAGTTGGAAAAATGTAAAAATTAATATTTTACGGGTTAAATTAGATATATTACTTAACATCTTGCGCATATTGGCCTTCACTTGGTACCATACTCTCTACTAATAAATTTATTATTCTTTTTTGGGTTTATGCAAATGATATTCGAAGTTTTTGATATAGAGCATATTAAAGTTGTACCCTGTCTATTTTTAAAAAGGCTACACTTCTCATCAAAGTATTAACTTTGAAAAGACTAAAGGTCAGTTCCAATAACGATCAGATCACTGACACAAGGATTCTGCTCAGTAGATTATTGGATCTGCTAACTTATCTAACTTAGTCCTCAGTTATCAAACGTTTCGTGTAAAAATGCTCTTTCGTGGCGTTTAGGTTTATATTCCTGAAATCAACTAAGCAAATAGTTTTTCCATAAATAACAAAAAAACTATTATACTGGCAATAAGCCATATTTATCTGTATTCATATGTTTCATCGAAAGCAGTTCTCATAATAAATCACAATCAATATCTTTTGTTTCATTTCTCATCTAACAACACACACAAACTTCGTAAAATTCCATTCTTGTCTGCAGGATACAAAAACGGGACGAAAACTTCTAATGCCTTGTTGGCCAAAATAAATGACGAACTTTTAGGCCATATACGAGAAAACTAGATTAAGCGTTCGAAGAGAAGCCGAAGGAGATGATAGATTAGAATTTTAATTAAATGTCGCGCCTGGGGATAAAATAGAGGAAAATAATTCCAAAATTAAATTAATTAAAACAAAAAAAAGCAGAGACAAATTTGTCACATGGTGTTTTTTCTCTATGACTTCGTACATAACCTCTAATGAAAGTTAGTCTTTTTCTAACAAAAAAGATCGTAGATATTGGACAACTTAGTAAAGAATCATCATTTAACATACGAAAAATATTCTGACGAATTTAAGAATATCCTCCTTTGGTTAATACTTACTTTATATTCCATTGATCACCTTACAAATTCGACAAATATTTCACTTCTGAATTAAAAACATTTATATGCAACATTTCAAAAAGCTTTCCATTCAATACTTCCCCAACCGACCCGTATTCCTAAAAATATATATACAGGCTTTCTTTTCAGCACCTTCTAAAATATACCCTTATTTTTCTTCTCGGTATTGCTCCATCAAATATTAATGAGCTTCTTTAGAAATTTGTGTATCGGAAATAATTCCGTTCCTTTTTCGCATTGAAAAATATTTTCAAGACGTCGCGTTAGCTGCTCACGTTCTCGTTATGTACCATAAAATTTCGGGTTACACTCATAAAAAGGAGAAATTAAATATGAAATAGGAAAAATTGTGTCTGTAAATAGATTTTTTATGAAAGGCACCGGAATAGATGTTAAGATTAAATCATAAACACTTTAATAGCAGTGCAATAGAAATAATAGTTTAAAAAAGGGAATATTGAGGATTTTTTGGGTCAAGAATTTGACTAATTATATCTGGAAATCAGTGAGGTTGATTTTCTAGGAATTATCAGTATTTTTTCAAAGTGGAATCTTTTAAAAAAAATCCAAGCTTTCGGAAAATGTATTGAATCTTCAAAAAGAAACTATTCTTTCATTACTAGACCACAACAGAAAGTAGAAATGAAGATGGAAAAATCAAAGGAGATAAGGAAGAATTAATGAAAAAAATAAATGAAAATAGGAACGAAGATTAGAAAGAATTGATGAAGAAAATGAATGGATTGGAAAAGAAGATAAGGGAACAGTTTAAACAAAATTAAGAAGCAATGGGTAACAAGATCAATAACATAAAAGAAGAAAACCATGAATTGAAACAAGGTACAGAAGAAATCGTTTGAAAGGTAAAGGAGTTAAAAACATACACAAGTAAAAGAATTAAAGAAACAAAGGATGAGATAAAAATTGAGATGATTTTCAGAATAACAAAAGTAAAGACTTTACAAGAGGACAAGGTCAATAAGGCAAAAGAAATTTAAGAAGAAATATACCAAAATAAGGAATTAAAGTCAAAAAAATGTAAATAAAATAGTTACTTCAGTAACAGAAATTAATATAATAAATGAAAAGATGGCTGAAGAAAATAAATAAAAGGTTTTGCAAATAAAAATTACATATAAAAGTATTTGTAAAAGATGTTGAGGACAGAGACACGGACACAGGTAGAGACTGCAGAGACAAGCAGAGACAGACATAGACAGGGAAAGGCGAACAGGCTACAGAAAAAGAAGAAGAAGACAACAAATTAATTTTTTTATGAAATTAGAATTAAAGTAAGTAAACAACAATATTTAACTCTATACAAGAGTTACAAATTTACCATACCGTTTGGTATGGTTAGAAAATACATGCTGAGTTATTTATTTTATTCAGGTTTAGGCAAAATGAATTCCCCAGTGCCTTGTTATCTATTATTTACATAGCAAATTTCTCCAGACTGCCAAACTCCAATGTCCATCATCTAAGTTGAAAGGTAGGTAAGCTACAGCATCACTCTAAGAAGCTTTCTCGCAAAACCAAAAGCCAAAAATCAAAACATTACCTCAAAGATTTAAATACCATGAAATTTAGATAAATTAAACACAAGTACAAGAAGGCGAAAATAGAAAACTCTGGAGTGACTGACCGTACCTATATAGAATACCACAATAATATTTCTGTTTAAAACTAAAGATGTGCATGATCTTGATTTTTCATTTCGTGATAACTGCAATAACAAAGATATCAAACAAATAAATAAGAAATACGTTTCTAAGTGTAGAGCAGGTATTATTGCATTTGATATTTTGTCGAGAAGATTTCACTATAAACTTGAAGTACCGACAATTCCCTGCTGCATTATAATTTTCAGTCTGTTGTGTGGTTCGAAATGAAGGCGCTCGAGTGTAAAACTAAAAGGACAATTGCGCAGGAAATTGAATAGAACAAATGGCCTTTGTCGGAGAATATGGCCGTACATACTATATCCGATATCATTGCCAATTTTTGCGATCTTCTAGCATCCCCTCCTAAGTTATTTGAAAAAATTTTTATTAGGGCTCTATTGGAATTGGAGTATTCGCACAGATCTTCTGGAAAATATTTCATTTTGAAATTTACTTGAAAAATGTACTTTGCTGTTTATTTGTAAACAATACAATGATTGAAAAAGTGTTGACACAAATATTTATAGTTATTATGTATTATTGATATCCGAGTATTAATTATGAACTATTTTATTTAAATACTACAATGCTACAAGAACTAGTAGACCAATTGATAATATAATCTCACTAAATAATTTGATGTTTTATATAATTTTGAAATGTTATTAGTATACTTCGTAGAAGAATATTATTGGTATATTTTTAAAAAATAATTCCCTGAACATTCTCTAAATAATATTTACAGAATAATAAATATATTCTTAGTTTATTCATGATATATAATTCCTATGTGTGTATATTCTTGGAATATCTTATACGATTTAAGAATGTAGCAAAATAAGCCTCGAAATTACCGAATAGTTTTAATAAACTAATAAGAAATATTTCTTTAATAGATAACAAGTTAATTAACACCTTTATAAACAAAACGTAACAGTAAAAACAAAGTCTGGAATCGTAGCAGAGCGCTCTTTTCGGAGTTAAAAGTGACACGAGTACATTGTGGAAACTACAATTGGATTTGAGCTCGTTACTCGAAACGCTGCCAGCAATACTCTCCGGAATGAAGTATAATAAGAATTGTTGATACAAGAGAAATGAAATTAGACATCTATTTCGCTGACAGCACAACGGCTGCGTACTTAAATTTCAGGATGTTGAATTCAGACAACGTGATGATAATTTACTAAAAGAATAATGGAAGTTAATGAAGATATTTAATTACTTTCTATCTAAATTAACATCAAATTCTTGTAAATAAATTAGCTTATTTGTTATTACGGTTGTTTAAAATCAATATAATAAATTCAAGCTTGGTTAAGTGAAAAAAAGAACAATACCAATCCACTAATAATACTAAATAATAGTAAAGACAGTAATGATAGTAAAGATGATAGTAAAGACTGTAAAGATAGTAAATATAAGTAAAGATAGTAAAGATAGTAAAGATAGTAAAGATAGTAAAGATAGTAAAGATAGTAAAGATAGTAAAGATAGTAAAGATAGTAAAGATAGTAAGATAGTAAAGATAGTAAAGATAGTAAAGATAGTAAAGATAGTAAAGATAGTAAAGATAGTAAAGATAGTAAAGATAGTAAAGATAGTAAAGATAGAAAGATAGTAAAGATAGTAAAGATAGTAAAGATAGTTAAAGATAGTAAAGATAGTAAAGATAGTAAAGATAGTAAGATAGTAAAAGATAGTAAAGATAGTAAAGATAGTAAAGATAGTAAAGATAGTAAAGATAGTAAAGATAGTAAAGATAGTAAAGATAGTAACAGATAGTAAAGATAGTAAAGATAGTAAAGATAGTAAAGATAGTTAAGATAGTAAAGATAGTAAAGATAGTAAAGATAGTAAAGATAGTAAAGATAGTAAAGTAGTAAAGATAGTAAAGATAGTAAAGATAGTAAAGATAGTAAAGATAGTAAAGATAGTAAAGATAGTAAAGATAGTAAAGATAGTAAAGATAGTAAAGATAGTAAAGATAGTAAAGATAGTAAAGATAGTAAAGATAGTAAAGATAGTAAAGATAGTAAAGATAGTAAAGATAGTAAAGATAGTAAAGATAGTAAAGATAGTAAAGATAGTAAAGATAGTAAAGATAGTAAAGATAGTAAAGATAGTAAAGATAGTAAAGATAGTAAAGATAGTAAAGATAGTAAAGATAGTAAAGATAGTAAAGATAGTAAGATAGTAAAGATAGTAAAGATAGTAAGATAGTAAAGATAGTAAAGATAGTAAAGATAGTAAAGATAGTAAAAGATAGTAAAGATAGTAAAGATAGTAAAGATAGTAAAGATAGTAAAAGATAGTAAAGATAGTAAAGATAGTAAAGATAGTAAAGATAGTAAAGATAGTAAAGATAGTAAAGATAGTAAAGATAGTAAAGATAGTAAAGATAGTAAAGATAGTAAGATAGTAAGATAAAGATAGTAAAGATAGTAAAGATAGTAAGATAGTAAAGATAGTAAAGATAGTAAAGATAGTAATGAGTAGTAAAGATAGTAAAGATAGTAAAGATAGTAAAGATAGTAAAGATAGTAAGATAGTAAAGATAGTAAAGATAGTAAAGATAGTAAAGATAGTAAAGATAGTAAAGATAGTAAAGATAGTAAAGATAGTAAAGATAGTAAAGATAGTAAAGATAGTAAAGATAGTAAAGATAGTAAAGATAGTAAAGATAGTAAAGATAGTAAAGATAGTTAAAGATAGTAAAGATAGTAAAGATAGTGAAAGATAGTAAAGATAGTAAAGATAGTAAAGATAGTAAAGATAGTAAAGATAGTAAAGATAGTAAAGATAGTAAAGATAGTAAAGATAGTAAAGATAGTAAAGATAGTAAAGATAGTAAAGATAGTAAAGATAGTAAAGATAGTAAAGATAGTAAAGATAGATAGTAAAGATAGTAAAGATAATAAAGATAGTAAAGATAGTAAAGATTAGTAAAGATAGTAAATATAGTAAAGATAGTAAAGATAAGATAGTAAAGATAGTAAATATAGTAAAGATAGTAAAGATAGTAAAGATAGTAAATATAGTAAAGATAGTAAAGATAGATAGTAAAGATACTGATTCGGAACTAACTTCTGAAAACGTTATACTAAAATTCAATGAATATTATATATCCAAAATTATATAATTATTTTTTTAGTAGTTCCGGACTGTAATGATAGGGGCGCTGAGTTTATAAATTTAATGTTTCACCTTTTAGTGTTGCTTTAATTATTGTAATAAAAAAAAAATGAAATAAAAAAGAAGTAAATGAACAAATTAAAGGTTTACTCAAACTTACCGGATAGGAGGGAAGGGCAATCGTCTTCCTTATGTCCTGGGGATGAAAACTTCCCTTGAAGTCGCGCAATGCGAGGTAAATAAAAGCCGTATTAACAGGTTCACAAAATTTTGCTGGTTGGGATCAATTTTAAACTGAATAGTCTACAATTTAACACAATCGCGTTCGTTTTCGTTCTGTGTTGCAGTTCGACAGACTTCCAAATTGGTGAAGGACAAAAAAAAAAGGGTCCAAAGTATAGAATTAGGACGGTTGACTATTGGAATAGGCGGAAATGGAGAAATATGAATCAAGTAAACCTTTGTCGTAATTAAATATAAAAATTATGAAATATTAATATTAACAAACGCAAAGCGGTTTTAAACAAAATATAAATATATATGTATATAAAAATAATAGAAAACAAAACATATAAATGTACAGGAACAGAACAGATACTAAAGATAGTAAATATATTAAAGATACGAAAGATAGTAAAGATAGTAAAGATACTAAAGATACTAAAGATACTAAAGTTACTAAAGATACTAAAGATACTAAAGATACTAAAGATACTAAAGATACTAAAGATACTAAAGATACTAAAAGATACTAAAGATACTAAAGATACTAAAGATACTAAAGATACTAAAGATACTAAAGATACTAAAGATACTAAAGATACTAAAGATACTAAAGATACTACAAGATACTAAAGATACTAAAGATACTAAAGATACTAAAGATACTAAAGATACTAAAGATACTAAAGATACTAAAGATACTAAAGATACTAAAGATACTAAAGATACTAAAGATACTAAAGATACTAAAGATACTAAAGATACTAAAGATACTAAAGATACTAAAGATACTAAAGATACTAAAGATACTAAAGATACTAAAGATACTAAAGATACTAAAGATACTAAAGATACTAAAGATACTAAAGATACTAAAGATACTAAAGATACATAAAGATACTAAAGATACTAAAGATACTAAAGATACTAAAGATACTAAAGATACTAAAGATACTAAAGATACTAAAGATACTAAAGATACTAAAGATACTAAAGATACTAAAGATACTAAAGATACTAAAGATACTAAAGATACTAAAGATACTAAAGATACTAAAGATACTAAAGATACTAAAGATACTAAAGATACTAAAGATACTAAAGATACTAAAGATACTAAAGATACTAAAGATACTAAAGATACTAAAGATACTAAAGATACTAAAGATACTAAAGATACTAAAGATACTAAAGATACTAAAGATATTAAAGATACTAAAGATACTAAAGATACTAAAGATACTAAAGATACTAAAGATACTAAAGATACTAAAGATACTAAAGATACTAAAGATGATACTAAAGATACTAAAGATACTAAAGATACTAAAGATACTAAAGATACTAAAGATACTAAAGATACTAAAGATACTAAAGATACTAAAGATACTAAAGATACTAAAGATACTAAAGATACTAAAGATACTAAAGATACTAAAGATACTAAAGATACTAAAGATACTAAAGATACTAAAGATACTAAAGATACTAAAGATACTAGAGACACTAAAAATATTAAAGATATTATAGCAAAGTAACAGTTAGATTTATTTTTGCAAGTGGATAAATAGAAATTAAGAGCTGATATTTAGCAGAGCTTTCCATCTTTTTATTAGTAAAAACTGGGTTTATAAACACTCTATTTTTACCACTTTTTACATTGTACGTCAAAAAAATGTATTCTTTTTTAATATGATTAAAAAAACATAAATTTTTTGCAAACAGAATATACAACTCAATCGAGAGCGAACTAAAAACTTAATTATTCCATTTTCTATATCAAACGCATTTTATATACAAAAGAGATCCGCAGTTCATAATCAAGCCCATCGCATAATTTAATGAAAAAGTTCCATTTCAGTCCAACATTGCCATCAAGCTCAATAAATTTAGTTAGCGCGTGACAGTGACCTCGTCCGTTTGCCGGCGATTTCGAAACAAATTTTGCAACGGGCAATAACAATAGTTGGAATAATCAGGATATGTTTGATTTATGTGGATATGCGGGATGTGGGATAGGAGACACTTCACTAACGCGTATCAATTGTATATGTAGCACCTAATGGACTATTAAAGTTCATATATTTTTATAGATTATGAGCTTTTTAATAAATACGTTTCTCAAATCATGAAAATAACCAATAAAAATGTAAACTTATTTTTCCCACTGTCAGTTAATTTGTATTTATGCCCCACTGTCTCAATACCTATTTTCGATTAAAAGTCAAAGTTTACCACAGCTTCAGCCCTACCTGCAGAAAGCGTAGTTTATACACCTGCGTCTCCTGTCAACGTTACTTTTTATCGTCACCTTTCAACGTAACCTAAATGTCTACATTATCTGTCACATGTCAATTACCGCTACTGGAGCTGCTGTCAATTAAGGATATCCGTCATTTCACAAATATTTTTTGTCGTTGTTCATTTTGATTCATTCTTTAAAATGCGGTAGTCACTGACTTTTACTCTCATGGCTTGTACGTAAGTTATTTATTAATAATAAAAAAGTATGTATTGATTTTAGTGTAATTTTTACACTATAGTACCTACCAAACAGTTAAAAACCAGGTTAAAATCCGTTTTAAATGCAAATCAAAGAATTTGGTCCTTTTTTAAAAAATTCTATCGCCAACACAAATTTAACACTCATAATTCAATATACGAAGGAGCATATAGATCTAGAATTAGATATTTCGTGTTAGGTATGGTCGAAATAAGTATTTTTAAAACACTCTTGCTTAGAATTTGCAAGTATCAATCTGAGTTTCATTTAACTATTTTCGTTCGATTTAGATTCGATTTCTTGGAATTTTATAAAAGTGTCTTTTTTTGTTATATTAAATTCTCTCTTAAACTAATAAACTATTTGCAATAGAGGAAGGTATCAATGAATTATAGATTGATCCTGGTTCAAATGTAAATTTAATAAATCAATATTTAAATATCACCCCACGAACTTTTCCACTATTGTTAACCTTTGTCCTACTAATACATTAAATAACAAAATAAATTTTATTATTTATTTTATAGATAGATATTTATCTATATCCATTCAAATACATTAGTGGACATGTTTAAAATGTTAACTTATGACGTTATTATTGATTCAGTACAAATGGATTCTTTATTTCTCTTGTAACAAAACATTTTTAAAATAGAATGTTTTACATTTTCTTTTCAAACAAAAGAACTGTAGAAATTATGTTTTCTGATATGGATCATAAATCCTATTTAGCTAAAAATCTGATCACGCACGTGAGATAACGAACAACAGTGAAAAAGTGAAAGTTACATGAAACGTTATTGCATGTACACGAATTATCCTGCTGTGATGTTCCATTTATTTTAACACGAATCCTGCTACATAGCCACATAACACAAATGTGTAATGTTAGGATATTAAATTGACTTTATACAATTTAGGGATGGGCTACTGATACCATCGAGGCAATTGTTTTGCAGAAGATACGTGTATGAGAAGATGCGTTTTTCTTTTACATTTTTAAAAAAGGACGGGGTATGTTTTAAATGTAAAATACTTTTTGGTCAGAATTTGACGAAATTTTGATGTTATAGAACTTGACGTACGGATTAAATATCTCCGGTGCGTCAAAGCAATAAGTTTAACCGGTTTTGGTTTACTATTTCATAATTTCACATCATAAAATGCATGTTTTTGTCAGTATTAGCACAAAAGATTAATTTTTTTTTTTCGTAGTTCTTAATACAATTCTTTATTTGCTTTTATAATTTTTGTACATACAACTGATATAAAGGGTGAGATCATATAGAACGCAAGGTTACGATTTTCTAAATTTTTTTAATAAAATACCCTGTATTAATGAATGAGTAGTGTAATATACAGAATATTCCATTTAAAAAATTGAAAAAAACGTAACCTCGCATTTTGACACACCCTTTATACAAAATCTCAAACTAAATAAAATTTAATTTATTGTTCGACGATGTGAAAATAATTAAATTTACTTAAAAAACGTATAGGTTTAGTTAAACATTTGTTTATGGATCACCCTATATATTTTAGAATAATTATTGTTAAATATGGTCATACAAAATTTTATATTAATTTTTTTTTTTCGTATTTCCTATAATAAAACAGCTCTGGATTAATTGCAGACCTATGGGACACCCTGTATCTATAGTTGAGACCTCCCGTGGCAATTTTATAAAAAAAATAAGGCCCTTTCAATATCACATTTCTAAAAAAAAGGTTTTTAAGCAAAAACTTATATCCTTTAGATCCTTTAAATTTTTTAGATCTAGAAGATTCCTTTAGACCCTCTAGATTCTCCAGATCCTCTAGATCCTCTAGATTCTTTAGATCCTTTACATCCTTTAGATTCTTTATATCATTTATATCATCTAGATCCTTTAGATCCTCTAGATTGTTTAGATATTTTAGATCCTTTAGATCCTTTAGATCCTTTAGATCCTTTAGATCCTTTAAATCCTTTAGATCCTTTAGATTCTTTAGATTCTTTAGATTCTTTAGATTCTTTAGATTCTTTAGATTCTTTAGATTCTTTAGATTCTTTAGATTCTTTAGATTCTTTAGATTCTTAAGATTCTGTAGATTCTTTAGATTCTTTAGATTCTTTAGATTCTTTAGATTCTTTAGATTCTTTAGATTCTTTAGATTCTTTAGATTCTTTAGATTCTTTAGATTCTTTAGATTCTTTAGATCTTTTAGATCCTCTAGATTCTTTAGATACTTTACATCCTTTACATCCTTTATATTCTTTATATCCTTTAGTAGATGCTTTAGATCCTTTAGATCCTTTAGATCCTTTAGATTCTTTAGATCCTTTATATTCTTTAGATCCTTTAGATCCTTTAGATCCTTTAGATCCTCTAGATCCTTTAGATCCTTTAGATCCTTTAGATCCTTTAGATCCTTTAGATCCTTTAGATCCTTTAGATCCTTTAGATCCTTTAGATCCTTTAGATCCTTTAGATCCTTTAGATCCTTTAGATCCTTTAGAACCTTTAGATCCGTTAGATCCTTTAGATCCTTTAGGTCATTTAGATCCTTTAGATTCTTTAGATTCTTTAGATTCTTTAGATTCTTTAGATTCTTTAGATTCTTTAGATTCTTTAGATTCTTTAGATTCTTTAGATTCTTTAGATTCTTTAGATTCTTTAGATTCTTTAGATTCTTTAGATTCTTTAGATTCTTTAGATTCTTTAGATTCTTTAGATTCTTTAGATTCTTTATAATAATAATAATAATAATAATAATAATAATAATAATAATAATAATAATAATATTTATTAATCAACAACAACAAAATTCGACAAGAAAATTACAATTTGTTAATAAATATAATAATAAAACCCACAGAAGGTCTAGCCTGTGCGTGGGTTATAATAATAAAATTAAAAATAAATAATAAAATAATCGAAGTAGTAATAAAACTAATAAAACTAATAATATCAATAATAATAATAATTATAACAATAATAATAATAGTTAACGATAACATGAATAACAAAATCTACAATAATAAAAATAATATTGACAATAGTACTAACATTAATACCAATATCAATGCAATACCTCTACTAATACCAATACTTATATAACTACCAACACCAATAACAACACTAATACTAATATCAATAACAATTAAAATAACATTAATAAAATAATTTGTTTACTCAATTTTTAATCATTAATAATCATTCATATTTTATATATAATATATTACATTTAAGTAAATATCTCTTTTTTATAGTTTATAGTGTTTCAAAGTAAGCATGTATTTGATTTCTAGGAATTGTTTTCATCCATTTTTTAATTTTATTTTTAAATAGTGATTTTAAGTTTATTGTTTTTAAATCAGGTGGGATTATATTATAAAATTTTGGACCAAATTTTATATTAATTTTTTTTTTCGTATTTCCTATAATAAAACAGCTCTGGATTAATTGCGGACCTATGGGACACCCTGTATCTATAGTTGAGACCTCCCGTGGCAATTTTATAAAAAAAATAAGGCCCTTTCAATATCACATTTCTAAAAAAAGGTTTTTAAGCAAAAACTTATATCCTTTAGATCCTTTAAATTTTTTAGATCTAGAAGATTCCTTTAGACCCTCTAGATTCTCCAGATCCTCTAGATCCTCTAGATTCTTTAGATCCTTTACATCCTTTAGATTCTTTATATCATTTATATCATCTAGATCCTTTAGATCCTCTAGATTGTTTAGATATTTTAGATCCTTTAGATCCTTTAGATCCTTTAGATCCTTTAGATCCTTTAGATCCTTTAGATCCTTTAAATCCTTTAGATCCTTTAGATTCTTTAGATTCGATTCTTTAGATTCTTTAGATTCTTTAGATTCTTTAGATTCTTTAGATTCTTTAGATTCTTTAGATTCTTTGAATTCTTTAAATTCTTTAAATTCTTTAAATTCTTTAAATTCTTTAAATTCTTTAAATTCTTTAAATTCTTTAAATTCTTTAAATTCTTTAAATTCTTTAAATTCTTTAAATTCTTTAAATTCTTTAAATTCTTTAAATTCTTTAAATTCTTTAAATTCTTTAAATTCTTTAAATTCTTTAAATTCTTTAAATTCTTTAAATTCTTTAAATTCTTTAAATTCTTTAGATCCTTTAGATCCTTTAGATTCTTTAGATTCTTTAGATTCTTTAGATTCTTTAGATTCTTTAGATTCTTTAGATTCTTTAGATTCTTTAGATTCTTTAGATTATTTAGATTATTTAGATTATTTAGATTCTTTAGATTCTTTAGATTCTTTAGATTCTTTAGATTCTTTAGATTCTTTAGATTCTTTAGATTCTTTAGATTCTTTAGATTCTTTAGATTCTTTAGATTCTTTAGATTCTTTAGATTCTTTAGATTCTTTAGATTCTTTAGATTCTTTAGATTCTTTAGATTCTTTAGATTCTTTAGATCCTTTAGATCCTTTAGATCCTCTATATTCTTAACATCCTTTAAGTCCTTTATATCCTTCAGCTTCTTTAGCTCCTTTAGATTCTTTAGATCCTTTAGATTCTTCAGATCCTTTAGATTCTTTAGATCATTTAGATCCTTTAGATCCTTTAGATCCTTTAGATCCTTTAGATCCTTTAGATCCTTTAGATCCTTTAGATCCTTTAGATCCTTTAGATTCTTTAGATTCTTTAGATTCTTTAGATTCTTTAGATTCTTTAGATTCTTTAGATTCTTTAGATTCTTTAGATTCTTTAGATTCTTTAGATTCTTTAGATTCTTTAGATTCTTTAGATTCTTTAGATTCTTTAGATTCTTTAGATTCTTTAGATTCTTTAGATTCTTTAGATCCTTTAGATCCTTTAGATCCTTTAGATCCTTTAGATCCTTTAGATCCTTTAGATCCTTTAGATCCTTTAGATCCTTTAGATCCTTTAGATCCTTTAGATCCTTTAGATCCTTTAGATCCTTTAGATCCTTTAGATCTTTTAGATCTTTTAGATCTTTTAGATCTTTTAGATTTTTTAGATCTTTTAGATCTTTTAGATCTTTTAGATCTTTTAGATCTTTTAGATCTTTTAGATCTTTTAGATCTTTTAGATCTTTTAGATCTTTTAGATCCTTTAGATCCTTTAGATCCTTTAGATCTTTTAGATCTTCTAGATCTTTTAGATCTTTTAGATCTTTTAGATCTTTTAGATCTTTTAGATCTTTTAGATCTTTTAGATCTTTTAGATCTTTTAGATCTTTTAGATCTTTTAGATCTTTTAGATCTTTTAGATCTTTTAGATCTTTTAGATCTTTTAGATCTTTTAGATCTTTTAGATCTTTTAGATCTTTTAGATCTTTTAGATCTTTTAGATCTTTTAGATCTTTTAGATCTTTTAGATCTTTTAGATCTTTTAGATCTTTTAGATCTTTTAGATCTTTTAGATCTTTTAGATCTTTTAGATCCTCTAGATCCTTTAGATCCAGCATATAGAAAACTTTTTATTATTCATTTTACGAAAAAATGTTATTCTTTATAAAAATTTGTGCATGGTCGAACCGAAAATAAAATAACCTGATATCGAATTTTATCAGTCGGTTACAAGGTTCGGCAAAAAATATGATTTTGCTCAAGAGAAAATACCTTTAATGTTGACAAACCACGTATACGACTGAGAAAATTTGATGCCAGATGATTAAATTTCAACCAAGAGATTAAAAAAGTTTTATCCCATTAACTATAATCCTCCTTGTATTTTGCAAAGTATGCCTATGGAATGTGACGTTATATCCCTACTTTTACTACACTTCTTTTTTTATTTTGACTATAAGCCCTCCACTTTTAAAATATTTTCAGAATATATTAAAACAAAACGTAAAAACGCACAAATAAATTTGTGAATAGCAAACATTCATATAAATATCTAACTCAAGTTCTGCAAAGCCTCCTCTGTAATACCTGCTTATCAATAAATTCCTATGAATATTATCTTCTTTCCAATAAAGTAGATCAAAGTGTCTCTGACATGCTGCATATATGTGAGTTTGCTTGATTTAGCACCATCCTTTTTATGGCACTGCACGTGAAATACAATTGCACTTTCCACATTGTACATTTTATTTCATAACCCATCCCCCGGGGCACTATATCATCGCCGCTCGGGGCATTCACAAATGATATATTGTCGGATCTTTGCCTGTAAAGGATCAACTCTAGAGCTATGCATATTTCGCAGCCACCTCTAACAATAACCAAATTTTCAAAGGTTATTGTGCAAGTTCGGGGCGGCGTGTTGCCAGAACAATTACGAAATGTCACGTTACATTTACTTCATAGATACCATCGAGGACGAAATCGTCACGTGATAGTCGACTTCCTTTGACGATAGTAAACAGGATTTGTTTTCGTAATCGGCAAATATACGCAGTACAGTTGGTCTCATAAAGTGTACTTAATATTATAAATTATGCTTGTTCTATAAAGCTGTAGAAACAATTATAATTATATCTTTTTTCAACCACTTTAATTGCAAACGATTTAATATATTTGATACTAAATAATACCCCAAAGGTAGGTACAAATACCACTTTCAATATCTTTTAAAAAGAACCCCAAAGGGATTTTTCCGACTATTTAATCTTAATCAAATATCTCCGATCCTAGACATAAGAACGTATTAAATAGTCGGGAAATTCCCCATTTGATTATCTAAGGTTTTTTTAGAATTAAATAACTGTACTATTATTATTTATTAATATTTTTGAATTCGAAGTCTTTCTGATAAATTTAAACAGTCGCTGTAGGTACAACAAAAGTAACACTCGAGCTTAGGGAAACAAATCCTAAGGCATATTAGTCTCTATATTGAACAATGTACTCGAATTTATCCCCGACGGTCTTGTACGTAATAAAAAATGGACTAACGAAAATTTGTGTTGTTACAAACAGCGTGCCTTTGTGAAACCAGAAATGGATCAGGATTTGTCACAGAGTTTAGACGATAATCGTGTTTTATTTCAGAGGCAGGTTTAAGGTGATAAAGGGGAACAAAAACAAATAATGGTTATTTAATGTTTTTAGGCACGAATTCTCACTGTTCGACAGAGTAGAAATAGATAGGTCGCTGGGGGGCTTTTCGTAAATGATGATTTTGTTAATCTCATGGGAAATTTAAATTTGCAATAATACGCAAGGTGATTTTGTTTAAAAAATAAAAAAACCTTGACAGTAAATTGACTGTAATATAATCCGTAAAGCCCTTGGTATTCAATTAATGGACATCACAGTGTGGGGGTTAGAAACTGGAGCAAACCATGTAAATTTTACTTTGATTCATATGGTAACACCCCTTTTCTTCACCACTAAAAATAAAAAAAAGGGTTGGGGTGGCGCCAGGCTGTTCTTCGAACAAGGGTTGCCCAGGCGCTAGTTTTGGTCACACAGTCTACTTTGGGGTGCACCTAGAGTACATCCTCAGCAGACTCAGTGGAGTCCATTTAAAAAAAAACACAAGAAAATAAATACGACAATTAGACGTTCACTGCTTCCTGACCTATACTGGGGCAATAAACAGTGACGTTTCTGTTTTATTATTCGGTTTAAAGTCTCTCTTATGTAGACATCTGATAGTCCACAGCTTCTACAAGAGAGAAACCCTTTCCACGAGCTGTTATAAAGACTAGGGGCTGAAACAGCTCTGATTATCGACGGGGGGGAACAAGCGAATACCGCTATCACCTGCTGGTTAACGCGAAAATGGATGAAGGGTGCGAGTGCCCCCGGATTTAAATCCAATTTACTTTATTACCCTGACAGGTACCAAGGAAATTAAAAGTACAGGTCGAATTCCTTAAGTAGACAATGGAAACGGAAAATTAACGTTGCAGGGAGAATTATTGGACGGAATTTTAAAGTGCCTACCTTGATTAATTCCTCACAACAGTTTTCGGTGCACGAAATGTAAATTGCGAAAAATCGGTTTCAAACGGCAAACCTACTCTTAAGCACAGTATCACGTAAATCGGTCAACAGTCAACAAAAGTCGGGATGGAAGAGAGCGCTCCCATCGAAAGCGTCTGCTTTTATCAAAAGTCGGACTTTTGCCAGAGTGGGCATGCTAGTTCCTACTCCTTTGTTATTAGTTGTTTTGCAAAAAAAAACGTTGATTGATCGGCATACTGATAAACCTACTAGAATTGAGATTTTAGGACATTATTTAATTTATGGTGATAATGAAAAGTTTTAAACTATGAGGGCTCTTGTAAAGGTTTTAAAACGGTAATTCTATGGAAATATTAGTTACAGGGGGTCTCACAAATGTTCATAGACGGAAATTAGTTTTAGAAATGAATTTAGGGAATAAATGAATAGAAATTTTAGCGACTTCGTCACAGTATGTTATACAAAGTTTTATAGAATTTTTTCCACTAATAAATACCCCCAAAAGAAGCCTTAATGATTATTATTCTAAACTAACTTATCTAGAGTTGAAAATCTTCATAAATTAAGATCTTACTCAATAATGAGGAGAACGACTCTAATACAAGTTGATTTGCTCTTATTTTGATCAGATACTGACGATTTTAAGGTTTGGACACAACAGGTCAAAAAAATAAAGATGAATTTGAGTGGCAAGACCTACAAGCAGATACTGGCAAGATTTAAACGCTTTTTATTGGGCGATGCTAAAATATAATTTGAGAATTGGTCTTAAAATATTTATCAATTTTAAAGGACCCCGCACAAAAAGATAGAAACCTCTAAAACGCATGTCACCTTTTTGAAAATCATATTTTAATTATTTTAATGTATGCCCTTAAGTTTTTGAGGATGCTGAATTTGAATATGATGTCAAATCGATAATATTGACAGCTGTCAAATAGCTGTCAAATGCTTCAAAGAAAAACAAATCTTATATTAAAGAATGTTATCATATGTTTTTGAGGACGCTGAAGTCAAATAAGATGTCAAGTCGATAATATTGACAATTGACAGCTGTCAAATAGCTGTCAAACGCTTCAAAGAAAAACAAATCTTATATTAAAGAATGTTATCATGTGTTTTTGAGGACGCTGAATTCAAATAAGATGTCAAATCAATAATATTGTCAGTTGACAGCTGTCAAATAGCTGTCAAACGCTTCAAAGAAAAACAAATCTTATATTAAAGAATGTTATCATATGTTTTTGAGGACGCTGAATTCAAATAAGATGTCAAATCGATAATATTGACAGTTGGCAGCTGTCAAATGCTAAAAAAAAAGAAATCTCATATTAAATGATGTTATCATATGTTTTTGAGGACGCTGAATTCAAATAAGATGTCAAATCGGTAATATTGACAATTGACAGCTGTCAAACGCTTCAAAGAAAAACAAATCTTATATTAAAGAATGTTATCATATGTTTTTGAGGACGCTGAATTCAAATTAGATGTCAAATCGATAATATTGACAGTTGACAGCTGTCAAATAGCTGTCAAATGCTTATACAAAGAAATCTTATATTAAAGGATGTTATCATATGTTTTTGAGGACGCTGAATTCAAATAAGATGTCAAATCGATAATATAAGATTAATATAAGATTTCTCTGGTTTTAAAGCATTTGACAGCTGTTTTACAGCTGTCAATTGCCAATATTATGGATTTGACATCATATTTCAATTCAGCATCCTCAAAAACAAGGGCATACATTAAAATAAAATATTATTTTCAAAAAGGTGACATGCGTTTTAGAGGTTTCTATACTATGGTGGAGTCACGGAGCTTCGCAGCTCCATAGAAGCCAAACCATGGGCTTTGGAGCTTAGTGCCCATTGAGACTTTTGTTTAGGATGACAAAATGTATAACATATCAAAAATTCAGATAATTTGACCGAGAGTGCATTTTCTATCTTTTTGTGCGGGGTCCTTTGAACTTTTTAGAGTCATTTTCACACAGAAAATTGTAGTCTCTTCTTTTGACAGCTCACTCTGTAATTCTTATACAGCTTATGTTTTAAAAAAAGGGTTGCATTATTGAAAAATTTTAATTTTATATCAAGAATGTTATGTAAATGTCCTTTATGTCCTTTCAGCTTTTATAAAGTATGAAATTGGTACTTAAGTAAACTTAAGAAGTTGTGGATGAGCGAAAAGAAAAATAATCCTAGGCCAATTGGGTGTGGGTGGCTTAGTGGTGGAGTCTCTGCCTGCGGATCCAAGAGTCCCAGGTTCGAATCACACCGTTGGCCGGGATTTTTTAATTTAATGTAATTATTTAAAATTAATTCTGATGCCTTGGTATGATTCCCGACTCGGACATTCATTTTTGGGTTCTAATTAGCAGTGCTGTTCCTAAAGTGGCGCTGGAAACAGTAACAAAGCATACACAGAACACAAGGCGAGATAGCCTTAGCAGTTGAAACCGGTGACACAAAAAGAAAAAAAATAACAGACTTTAAGCTAAGAAGCAGGGGTAAATTTTTACTATACATTATAAATCTATAGAAAAACAAACAATAACTTTAATAATAAATTCCCACATTGAACGCTTGCCAATTGTTATTCAAATTCATAATCTAAAATCCCATCGATATTTTTATGTGTTCGGCACTGTTCAATACCAATAAAGTACGTGTTTTATCTCATTGTGTTCCAGCTTTAGACTGTTTAACAAAGCCAACTCATTCCTACTACAATATGTTCTAATTCGGTGGATTTTTCACGGAGCACTGCTTTCTACTCTCCACTGATAATTTATAACCTTTTTCTCCTTCGATTTTTCAGCTAATGTCGACAGGGTTCATCCTGTAATTGAAATTAATGGTTGTTAACAAGTAAAAAGTTTTAACTGACACCAACTTGGGAATTTTTAGATGAAAGCGTTGATGATGATTTAGCTTACGGTAAATTACTTACTTACAAAGGGCAGGATGCTCTTGCAACCGCAACAGTTATTTAGTTTCCTAGGTTTTAGTTTATAGAATATCTTGTAAGTTTTCTATTGATAGTACACTGAGAAAAAGTTGTTTAATGTTTAACGATACGGGCACGTAGGTTCTTATTTTTAAAATAAAATTCGCGCTACTGGGTATTCTAGTGTATATTTAACTTGAAAAATCCGAATGGTAAAAGATCTTCCATATTTAACAATTTATATATACCCACAAAGGTGTAAAAAACACTGTTTAACATTTCCCTCAGGGCTATACTTTTATATTTTGGTCTCGAGTTGGTGACAGAATCCAAGAATTTGTTTTGGAAATATCTGACGAAATTACAGTCACAAATTCAAAGCACGAGTATCAAAGTGTAGCCTCTCCACAGGGAGTCGAATTCCCATAAGTGTTGCTTGGCTCTTCTCCGTCGTAGACCGTTTCAAAAGTATAAATGAAAATAGAGACACGATGCAACTTAACGTACTACATTGGTTAACATATTGCGTAAGTTTCTACAGGAAAATTACTCGTTTTTGTGTAATAAGGCAGTTGCTGGGTCGTTACGAAGCGGAACAAGAAATATGGCTTTTTTAAAATTAGTTTCGTGATCACGGAACAAGAACTATGGCTTCTGCCTAATATAGCACTTTCTTGCCAGCTAAATGGAACGAAAATCTATTTAAGAATGATTAGCGTGTTGTTTCTACAAGATAAATTAAAATGTATTATATATAATATTTCGAAATTAAATATAAATGATATTAAAATCAAAAGTAAATACATTTTTTCGACAAAACCTTAATTTCTTTTGTAAACTACACAAATAATTAAATGTTTATTTTATGTATGAAGTTTATTAATATTAAAATAATGTTACAAAAATAATAATTATTATAACAAATGGAATAACATAGTCTTATGTATGAGAGAGTATTAAAATAATAAAGCGTTCGTAATCCATAGGCGTACCACTTCGTTTAGTAGACAGTTAAAATATTTTTTGAAGTTATTCCTCGAGTATACACTTATATTTTCACCTAATTTACTTGCTTATAACTTCTAAACAGCTCAAGGTAAAAAAGTGCAATTTTTTCTAAAATGTTTTATTTTTCCACAAGGTATGTTAAGAACATTGTGTCAAACGGGTTATGTAGGTATAAGGGTTTAAACTTTGACTTTTAAACAACGTTACGTTCATAAATAATAATTTTAATATAAAAACTACTTGTTACCTACAAATCCAAATCAGAATAGAAATCAGAAGATGAACTGTCGCAACCAATATTTACAATGAGTGGCTCGATCATCAGTAATATTGTCCAACTTCCACATTTTCTCTTCTTCTTTAATCGTATGATTTACTGCCTTTTCCCAGTTTTCAGGCTTCACATTATTTACAGCCTCCAAAAACAACTGTTTAACATCACTCATTTTAAAAGAATTATTTTTTCTTGAAACTTTTCCCTTTATCTGTGCCCATATCAGTTCAATCGGGTTTACTTGACAATGATATGGTGATGATCTAACCACCGTCATCCCACGATTTTTTGCAATTTCATCAATTTCATATTTTTTGAATTTCTCTTTATGAAGGGAACACAAATGATACAGTTTTTTTTTCTCACAGAACCGGGATGGAACTTAATATTCTTTGAATTTAGCCAATTCTGTAAATCTTTTTTTAACCACTTGGTTGTGGGCATTTTTTCTATAAGTCTCGAGTGATAACTTGCATTATCCATTACTATTATACAGTTCTGAGGAAGATCTATAATTTGTTCGAACCACTCTTTAAAGCCATCAGCATTCATGTCCTCATGGTAGTCACCTGTACGAGTAGATTCAAAAGTCAATGAACCACCTTTAACAAAACCGTTTGAACTACCGATGTGTACTATTATTAGTCTGCGCCCTTTTCCTGATGGTGGATTTAAACCAATAGATAAATTATTTAAAAAAGCCTGTCTTCGACTTGTAACAGTTTCATCTTGCCAAAATTTATTTGGTTTATGTCCCTCGTTGATCCATGTTTCATCTAAATAAAATATATTTCTTCTTTGGTTTCTCATTTCTTTCATAGTCCTTAGGTAATTTCTTCTCCATACTACAATATCGCTTCTTTCTATTAAAATAGACTTTCTGGAATGCTTTTTCCATAGAAAACCTATTTCTTTTAAAAGTTTCCATAGTGTGCTTCAACTCATTTCAGGGTAATCCTTATCATCTCGAACCGTGGCAAGAACTTTGTCTACTGTCGGAAATTCTTTTCTAAAGAAGAACGCATGCACTTTCCTTCGAAGTCTTTCTTTCAAAAGATTTTCTAATTGAAATTTTGGTTTTCCTGGAGCTTTATGTGCTGTTTGAAACTCGCCACATTTCTCTTCTTTAAGAACTCTGTAAATCGTAGATTTCCCAACACCAAGCGTACTACTAACTAATTCCACTGTGTCATCAACACTTTTACATAAATGTTTGTCTGTAAATGATTTAAAACAATTAAATATTAATGTTTTTTCATTAATTGTTAAAGGACCGATTTTTTGTCATTTACGCGGCCCTTCCAAATTTTCCATGATCACACTAGAATTCACACTGCACCTTGCAAGTTTGCAACTAAACGACATTTAGTAAACTGTCAAGAATACACAACTTTCTTACTAAATGGAAAACCAATAATCGTATTTTTGGTGAAATTTGTTGGGAATCTACTTATAATTCGATTACTGTAAGAAATTCTTGGAATTAAAACAAAACAAAATTGGCAAATACGTACTTAGGCTTTTGGCCTGTCCAAACCTTTTTCTATTGTTCTGTACAGCTTATGTTTATAAAGGACCAATAAAAGACCCAAAACTTGTAATAGCTCAGGTACATTTATTACAATTTTAGGAAATATTTAGATTATTCTGTAAAAATATTTAAAATGACCGTACTAAGTTTTGGATTAGAAATGCTGTTTTATTACTCTCTCATACATTAAAATAGACTATAACAAAAGAAATCGACTGCATTCCTCAACGATGTTCGATAATCTGTCCATCCAAATAGTTGACCCACTGATTGAACCTTAGAATATGATTGAACGACCCATTTTTTGTCGACCGCCTAGTTTATGATGTTTTGGTTTCCCAGAAATCGTCTCGGGTTAAGGGACCATCCAAAAATAGATTACACTTTTACTTTTACTATTTTTTATTTATTTTAATTATTAAAACCTGTTGCATAAAAGTAATTATCCCGTATATACCAATATGTTAAACTTCAAGCTGCTCCATTTCTATATTAATCAAAATTTCAAAGAGATAAGCTAATATATTGGACTTTAAAAATTTCACAAAATTAAATTTCTTCGTCAGGTATTAAGAGAAAAACACGCTTCTGCATTTCTAACAAAATCAGGTCATTGCGTCTTATTCAAAACTCCTTTATGAATATTTAATCAACTTTGTTATTAAAAACAAATTTAATATTTTCTCTTCCTACTAATAAAAATTTATTGAAGGAAAGTTATTTTTTTAATAAAAGTGAGATTCTGCCTTTTGACAGTTCGTTGTAACGCCTACGTTATACTTTATGGACTTTGCCGTCGAGAATGTGTTTCAAGAAGGAGAAAAAAGAATTATTGCCTGTTAGTAGGTTAAAAGCGTGACCTCATCGGTAACATTCTGGAAAACTGACTGAATTGTGGCTCTGACTTCATAGGCGGTCCAAAATATTATTTTTAGAAGGAAATTTCTTTTTTTCATGATAATATTTGTTAAAATTACCTCAAAGTGACTTCACATTTATTGAAAATTTAAAAAATAATCTATCCTGGGCTTGTATTTGAACCCACATATTAATAAACACCTATTAACGTACCCCCATCATTATCAAAGCTCAATTTCTGGTGTAGTAATATTCAATCATAAGGGGGTGAATAGATTGAATACAGACCCTTCCCTAGAAAGTTTGTATGTAGTATTCCAATCCGGGATGGTTTTTTAATTATTTAATAAAAATGTTTTCATTTTGAAGGTTTCAAACTATTTTTTACAGATTATACTTTTAATATATAATTAATTTGAGCCTACCTTGTTTTAGGGAAAGAATATAACTGTGATATATATGCAATACCTTCGGAAAATAATTTCGGGTAGAAAAATAAGAATGTTATTCACAGAAATAAAGTTTTTGGATCTGTTTCTTATTTATTTGAAACAAGTAAGGTAATATTGATTTTGGTATTATTGGTTCTATTACGATCCTTTTATTAATTAATATCACCATTAAGATCATCGAAAAGAACAATTTTAAAATAGAAAAAAGTACAAAATCTAAACTAAAGAATTTTAAATTTTATAAACATAATTTAATAATAAAATTAATGGATATTTCAAGAGAAACTATTACAGCTGAATTGTACAGATGGTAAAAATAAAAAAGTATCGTTACAGACTAAAGTCGGATAATTGAAAAACTCTTGTTCTTTTAAGCTCTAATTTATTTCAAAAGATCAAAGAAAGAAACTTCCAATTTACTCGCAATCATTAAATATTTAAATGGAAGAGATAACAGTATATTTTTGTAATATGGTATTATTGAACCAAAAATTAGTTGTGAGAATTACATAAAAAATTAATGTTCTTTGTAGATTGGAATAAAACTGTTTTCTCATAAAGAATAAAAAATTTTTTTACTTATTCTATTTCATTGTAATCAGAAGCTCACTTGTCGACATCTGAGTGAAATGAATAAAGAAATGTAAAGAAACATTCGCTACATATAGTTTTTTAATAGTTACATGATATTAATAATAATAATAATATTTATTTTTAATATTTCTTTTAACACAAAATATATTGCAGGTTTATTATGATAAATAAATCCATATATTCTCTATTATATTGTCATGTTAGATGTGTTCTTTATTAAAAATGTCTTCTATAATAATTAAGGGACTAACTATATTCCATTTGGGTTTAAAGATAATGGTCTAAATACTCTAAATAATATAAGTACTAGATTACTTTAAACTTGGCTTCGTAGCTCATAGCTGTACTCATGATTTGAGAACCTCACACGTCTCTATAAAAGGACAGAAGAAAATATAGTGTTCCAAAACAAATATAAAGCACATCTCACAATCCTTGATTAAAAGACAATACCGCGATTCAAAATACAAAAAAAGACTTCCAAGTCCTCGCGACCAGGATGTAGTCCAGTTCGCCACGCGGAGAATGCCACACGTGACCTTAAGGTGGCAGTTTAAAACGATCAGGAGTCGTTCATTAGGAGACCTTATGTCAAGTTATATATAGGTTGTGAAACTATGAAGATAAACTTATAAGATGTGGAAGAGATGTAACATTTGATGAGAAAAGTGATAGTCTAGAGAATAAAGTAGTAGAAAAATAATATAAAACAGTGGAAATAGGGAGCTGTTCTATAAATTATGTTGAAGAAGAAACAAATAAAGAAAATGGAGTATATAAAAATGTAGATGAAGAATATGAAAATGTTGATGAATTTCATAAAAAATTTGATGAATTACATAAATCTACAACTGCAACAAGATACTGTGACGAAGTCACTAAAATTTCCATTAATTTATTCCCTAAATTAATTTATAAAACTAATTTTCATCTATGAACATTTGCGAGACCCCCTGTAACTAATATATCCATAGAATTACCGTTTTTAAACCTTTGTAAGAGCCCTCGTAGTTTAAAACGTTTCAATATCACCATAAATTTAATCATGTCTTAAAATCTCAATTCTAGTAGGTTTATCAGTATGCCGATCAATCAACGTTTTTTTTGCAAAACAACTAATAACAAAGGAGTAGAAACTAGCATGCCCACTCTGGCAAAAGTCCGACTTTTGATAAAAGCAGACGCTTTCGATGGGAGCGCTCTCTTCCATCCCGGCTTTTGTTGACTGTTGACCGATTTACGTGATACTGTGTTTAAGAGTAGGTTTGCCGTTTGAAACCGATTTTTCGCAATTTACATTTCGTGCACCGAAAACTGTTGTGAGGAATTAATCAAGGTAGGTACTTTATTTAAAATTCCGTCCAATAATTCGACCTGTACTTTTAATTTCCTTAGTACCTGTTAGGGTAATAAAGCAAATTGGATTTAAATCCGGTGTCACTCGCACCCTTCATCCATTTTCGCGTTAACCAGGGGGTGATAGCGGTATTCGCTTGTTCCCCCCGTCGATAATCAGAGCTGTTTCAGCCCCTAGTCTTTATAACAGCTCGGGGAAAGGGTTTCTCTCTTGTAGAGGTTATGGACTACCAGATGTCTACATAAGAGAGACTTTAAACAGAATAAATAAAAAAAACTGTTCCCCAAAGTATTGGTCAAACGATACCGTCTTAAATCCATTTGTTATTTGGGGCTATTGTGCCTGGTGTAAAGTAATAAGTGCAACAGTTATTTTCCTTTCACGAGTGCCGAGTGATACAGATCACCGCCGTTTACAAATTTTCTAATATCAATCACCGAGAGAGAAAATTATTATTTTTTATTTTCTAATATTTATAGTTCAAACCATATTTAATTTTACTGTTGTAGGATTTTTTCTCTTACTACTAAAACCGGTTGTTTTCTTTAGTAGGAAAGAATGTGTGCAAAGGGTGTTACTACCCACCGTTTTATTTTTTTAAAGGAAATTATTGTTTTATTTTCTCATTAATATAGTATAAGTCATAACTAATTTTACCGTTATAGGACTTTTCTGTTGATACCAGACCGTTTACTTTATCAACAATACATTTAAACCGTTTATATTTTTATATATTTGACGCTAACTTTGCAATTTGACAATGTTTCTATAGCCTTGTCAACAAAAGCTTTTGTTGAAGATATTTCTAAAAGGTTTAAGGATAAAAGGAGTTGAGAATTAGCTATGCTAGAGGAAAAGAAGTCACTGGATGAAAACAAAACCTAGGAGCTCATACAAAAACAGGACAGAATGAAAATAATAGATTGTAGGTGGGTTTTTGCTTTTAAAACGAATAATAATGGCAATATCTTAAGATACAAGGCACCTCTAGGGGCTAAAGGATTTGATTTTACTGAAATATATTCACCAGTGGTAAATTTAGTAACTATACGTATTCTACTTGCTATTTTAAATAAGGAAAATTTATTGATATGTCAGTTAGATGTTAAAACTGTCTTGTTACGGTTCAAAATCCATATGAATGTACTGGGGTGCTTTTACCACAAAAATAATATATATAGTATTGGCATTTAACTTTTAATTTACTCTAATTTATTATTTAAGTATAATAGGAATAAAATCTATTAAAAGCTCACTCCGTATACACCGTTTTGGCTAGAAGATTATTAGGAGATCCATTTCTCATGTTCTGTGAGTTAACTAGAATAAAAAGATACCTTTTATATTGTCAAATTGGAAATTGTAGAAGTTTAACCTTTTATCAAGTGTTTCTTTCTTGTTTTGAATATCCGTTCTGGTCCTCTATAGATATATTTTCCATTGTTTTTCTTAAATTAGTTTGTAGTTGAGTTCTAGGAACCTAAAAGGGAGAAAGAAACGTTTTGAATTCTATAAATGGTTTCAGGGTTCATTTTCTTTGTTTATTTACATTAATTATGACATTATGTCATTCAAATTTATTCAGGTGATTGTCTAAATCATTACAAATAATTAAAACCCCAAATAATCTAGGTAATTTTGGAATTAAGTAGGTGATTGTGAGAAATTGGCTAACAATATTTTAAATTACCTGTCATATTTTATTTTCACTTCCTGTAGAAGTCATTAATTTTTGTCGGTGCATATCCTTTTCCACCATTTTTCATTCTTCTGGTATCATACCTTCATGGAACATGTGTTTTTGAAGATCTTTTCATAAGGATATAAGATACTAGAAACGAAGACATTGAAAATTTAATAAGTATTACTATTTGTTAGTATACTTAATCTCATTAGAGGATTTTATTTTCAATTTAGTAAAAGAACTTCTTAAAAAGGCCACCTTTCACCTCAGGTAACGTAATTTCTCATTTATCACTTATTTATCCTTGCTTTATATAGGATTGTATATTTAGAGTAGTATTTTGTATTTTAGGCCTTCTATTCTATTCTATTCCATTCCATACTATTCTGTTTCCTTTTCTGGCTATCGTAGTTACAGATAGTTACTTTTCGTTGGAGTTACTACAAATGAAGGACATTTTAATTAGAGATTAAATAAGTGGACCTACTCGTACCTTTGGATCCAATCTTGTCAAGTCACCCTTCCAAAGAGGTCTTCAAATTCAACCCTCGACTATGTAAGATAGTGACAATCTCCAAGGTAGGAATTTTCTGATTATACCAACTCAAGTCCATCAGTTAGAAGGTGTTATCACACGAAATATCTCCACCCTCAGTGTTTGGGGAATATTCTGAAAATTGTACATATAATTAACCAATTTTAACCTTTTAGTTTGTAAATATTAAAGTCATTTATTTTGTGAGCCACCAAGATAGATATCTATTTTAACCGGTACATAAGCTGTATATATATTAAATTCCAAGGACTTACCTATTACAACCAAAATATAGCTAAAGTTTGAATAAAACATCAAAATTCTCCTCTCATAGCTAATAAACACGTTTTATTTATATATCATAACCTTTTAAAAATCATCCATAATTCTTCTTCTTCATTTGCGGTATACATAAAATTTATCTAGGTAATAATCGATTATATCTCGGTACAATCGGTCATTCAGCCAATTTCGAG